CACGGCCTTGTGCTCTGGAAATACTTTGGCTTCTGCTCCTTTTCTTTCAGTAATGCCTTACTTCCAAAGCGGTTATGAGCATGTATTCATTGTACAAAGGTTTGGTTATATTTTCTTCTTTTGTGGGCAGGGGACAAGGCCTCACAATGTCAATCAGACTGGCCTTGAACCCACAGAGGTTGGCCCACCTCTGCCTCTCCAAGTGCTGGGATTAAAGGCGTGCACCACCACACCTTCACACACAAATATCACGACTTTAGTCATGTTCACCACATTTCTATCATAAAAACACGGAACGTTTCACAGGCCATGCTTCTTCCTGTCTCATCCTAACTTTGGCACATGTGCCGCTAAAGCGAGCATTTTCCTACTTCCTCACACCACAAGGTGGTCCAGGTTTACCTTATACTTTCCTAGGCCCAGTGCTGGAATCAACAGTTCTTGGTGGAGTTTCATTGTATAGGAGAACAGTTTATAAAAACCCAAGCTCTAGGCACTGGATAGATCACTGTTCATTCTGGTGGATAGTCCCAGCCACTAGAGAGGCTGAGGCAGGAGGATCGAAAACTCAAAGCCTCATTCGGCTACAAAGTTAATTCAAGGCTAGCCTGGGCAACTTAGCAAGACCATGTCAAAATAAATAAAAAGGAGGCTGGTGATGTAGCTTGGTAAAGCAGTTATCTGGCATGTGCAAGGCCCTTGGATCAATCCCGTCCTGAAAAAAAAGAAACCAACCCAGCAGATGAGAAGGAGGGGCAGGAAGACCAGGAGTTCAGAGCCATCCTTAGCAACATATTCATTAGAGACTGATCTGGGCTGTGAGACCTTGTCTCAAAAAATTTAGAAAAACAAAAGAAAGAAAACCACAAGACACAAATGCCTTTTCCCATTTCTAAACTTCAAAGTAAGGAGCTGCCACCTCCAATAGGAGAGAAGCTGGGGTCACTAAGCAACTCTGTTGCTGTCAGTGATCACATGAACTGGGGTGTTTTTCCTGACTTTCTAGAAGAGAAAAGTGAGACATACAGAGAAATAACTTGTTTAAGATCAGAGTGGCAGAGGAATCAAACCCAGGCAGACTGGCTCCAGTAGCTTCCGTCTATATGTAGCTCTAAAGCAACCCAGTGTGAACCAGTTCCAAGAAGTACAGAGGCACTGTGGGGTCTGACTGATACTATACAAGTTGTTTTTAGTCTTTCATAGACTTCAGGAGGTAACTACATTGTGCATACAATCACATGCCATACTGTCAATGAAGAACCACATACATGGTATTCCTACTTGGTTACAATGGAGCTGAAAACTTCCTATTGCCTAGTGATGTGGTAGCCACTGTTACATTTGCATTATAATAACATTAAATATCTGCATTGTTGTGGTGCAAACACACTCACTCTACACTTCAAATCCTGTAAGTGTGGCACAGACAGTTATGAGCAGTATATAATTCTTGGTAATAAAGGACTGTGTTACTGGTTATGTAACTGCTGTAACTGTTATTCAGGGTGTCTTCCTACTTACACATTTACTATAAAATGCTAATGCTGCGCTACTCTAACAGCAGCCTCATATTGTCTCTTATTTTTTCTTGTGTTTTTGATTTTTGTTTTGGAGACAAGGCCTTACTCTGTAGTCCAGTCTGGCCTTGAACTCTCAGCAATCCGCCTGTTTTAGCCTCCCAAGTGCTGGGATTACAGGTGTGCACTACTACATCTGGTTTTATTTGATGGTGGGGATTAAACCTAGGGCTTTGTGTACACTAGGCATGTAGTGTGGAGTAGGCTATACCATTTTAAAAGCTTCTATGTGTATACTCTATAATGACATTTCATAATAATGAATATCTAGCAACAGGCTTCTCAAAATGCATCTCCCACATTCATTTGTTACGTGACAAGTGACTATTTTGTGTGTTGTTGCAGCTGTTTCTCCTTTATTGAACTTCTTGGTCCAGATTCAAGAGTGTTTCCTAAGAAAAGGCAAGTCAAATATCACTGCCTACAATTCCTTTTTTTAAACTTTCCTCATTTATCGTATGCAGATTGGTGTTTTGCTTGCATATCTGTGCGCCACACACACACACACACAAGTTACAGTCAGTTGTGAACTGCCATGTGGGTGCTGGGAATCAAACCTGGGTCCCCTGGAAGAACAGTTGGTGCTCTAACCTCTAAGCCATCTCTCCAGCCCCCAGCCTACAAGTCTTAATTTTACCAGGACTTGACATTGGCACATGGTAAGGGGTAGAAATACAAAACACTAGAGTAACTAGGTTAAGAAAGACCGTTTCTTGAATAATCTGGGGAGGGCAGCCCAGTACATTCTGTGTCATGACTTCCATGCAGTGCTACCACAAAAAAAAAAAAAAAAAAAAAAAAAAAAAAAAAAAAAGTAGGGAATAGGAAAGACATTCCCTGCCCTGATGGAGCATCACAGTGCTGTAGAACAGAAATGAAATAATTACATATGGGATGTTTGTCTACTGAAGTCCACTGCTAGCCATGGAGTCTTACCTCTAAGTTGGGATGGAAGATGCTTGACGGGCAGTACCTCTTGAACAACATACTGATTCACACCTCCACTTTTCAGCAACTCCTCTGGAGATAAGGGCAGACGGAATTCAAAGTTTTGGGGAGACATCCTTCTCTCATAGGTCCACAGGCCTAGAAGCCAAACAGCAAAAAAGTCAGTCTAAACTGGAAGTTCTCAACCTGTGGGTCTTGAGCCCTCCACAGGGGTTTCCTAAGACCATCAAAAAAACATTATGATTTATAACAGTAGCAAAATCACAGTTATGAAGTAGCAATGAAATCATTTTATGGTTGGGGGTCACCACAACATGAGGAGCTGTATTAAAGGGTCACAGCATTAGAAAGGATGAGAACCACTGCTCTAAATCTAAGAGTGTTTTGTTTTTTATTTTGTGGCAAGAGCATTTCTTTCTTCTTCTCCTTCTTTTTGGGTAGTGGTGGGGTACTGGGAATCAAACCCAGCATCTTTGTATGCTAGGCAGTTATTTTATTACTATAAATATACTGAGCTATAACCCCAGCCTCAGAAATTATCTGGTTCAATTATTTCCCCCACTTTCAATATATAATGTTTTTCATCCTTACAACAAGCTACTAACATTATCTTGTAAGATACAAGATCAGAGCCAAGCAAAGTAGCACACTGTTATATTTATGTTCCTGATATTCAGGAGGCAGTGGGATGGAGTTCAAGGCTAACCTCCGCTGCATGGTCTGGGATACAGGAGACCTCCACCACCCCACCTCCCCACTATAAGAGCAACCCTAGATGAGAATCTAATTCTTGTTACTGCTCTGCCACTAAGTCATGGAGTCCCCACGTCTCATCTCTAAAATGGTGTTATTCTGGGGATCAAATGAATCAAGGGTTAAAAAATTTCTTAAAGAGCTGGGTGGTGGTGGCTCACACCTTTAATCCCCAAAACAGCCAGGACTGCTTCACAGAGAAACTCTGTCTCTGGGGTAAAAACAAACAAACATTGGTACAGAGCCAGGTGTGGTGGTACATGTCTATAAATCCAACACTTGGAAGGTTGAGGCAGGACTGCTGAGTTAGAGGCCAGCCCATGCTGCATGAGTACTAAGCTGTCAAGGACTATCTCAACAAAAATTTTTTTTTTTTCCCCGAGATTGGATTTCTCTGTGTTGTTTTGGTGCCTGTCCTGGATCTCACTCTGTAGACCAGGCTGGCCCCGAACTCACAGAGTTTAATCCCAGCCTGTGCGCCACCACCGCCTGGCACAAAATAAACATTGACATATTAATGAACTGTTAAGTGACAATCAGTGTGTACAAACAGCCTTATTGTTTCCATTTTAAAGTGAAACAATCCTTATAGAACGTCTCATTCAGCACCGGGGTTCCTGGATGTAGTAGGATTAAAGAACATTTAACATCTTTACTCATCCTGTGCCTGATTCTGTAGTCTCCTAATCTCGGTCATACGGGGTGTATGACGAAACAACCAAATTTACAGACTGGGTAGTAAGGTTATGCGATCTGCCCACATCACACATTCCGTCTCTGATCTGTCAGACTCACTGCCACATTGGATTTCAAGGACATCCCTAGCAGACGACGCTGCCGACCGCACACTGGCAAAGGCTGCGTCGTGCCCCGGACCTGATCTCCTCAGCCTTCCACTTCCCCGCTTCCCACCCCTACCACACCTCGCCTGGACCCCGGGCCCCCGCTCACCCGCCGCTTCTTCGACTGAGGTCGACCCGCCGCAAAGGAAGGAAGAAAACACTAGTGCACAATACGCGCCAAACAGCGAGATCGTTTCCAAGCTGGCGAAGAGGCCAGCCAATCCTCGGCAGGCTGAGACAGAGACCCGCCTTGGAGTCGGGCGTGGAGCTCGCAGAGCCCGCAACTCGGATTCAAACCTCAACGGCTGCCGGGAGGCCAATCGTGACGCGGCTGGAGAGGCCGGCCAATCACAGCACCGGGGGCGGGGCAAGCGGGCGGGGGCGGGGCTGCAGGGTCCGCTTTCCCAGGTATCTCTACGGTGGCCTGTCCCTGGAGTGGCGGTGACTCCGTTTCTCCCTCCGCAGGCCGGGAGGCAGGGCCAAGGCTGCCTGATCCAGCCCGGGTTTTACCATGTGCCGCCCAGCCAGTCACCAAGCCTCAAATCCCTGCCCTAAAAACTGCGAGAATAGACTGTCTCCCCCCAAACCCTGTTGCGATGTGCAAGGGACCTTGCCGTAGCGCCGGGCTCCCATCCTCCACTTCCCTCACGGTGGAGGACGCCCAAGGACACAGGAGAGGGTTTATTGTTACAGAGTTTCGGTTTGGGAGCGTCCTACCCTGCGACAAGAAACGTGCCGCAGCGGTTAAAAACACTTCCGGTGGACAAGCCGGAAGTACCCGCGCGGGGCGCGCTGGATAGGGCGGAACTTGAAGGGCGGGGCTTGTGGCCCGGGCAGTGCGAGCCAAGGCGGGTCTGCTCCGGAAGCGCTCTGGGTAAGGCCCAAGATGGCTTCCCTGACTGCCAGTCCCGTGTGAGGCCTGGCTGAGGCTGTGTCCTTTGTCTTGTCTTTGAAATTCACACGTGGTCCCCGTTTTCCTGGCTGGCTTGGTGCCCTGTTGAGGTGGACAGGCGCTAGAGTAATGGCAGGGAGTCTCCCTTGGGTGGCAGGTAGGAGCCTGTGGGGCTGGATGCCCTTGGCGTGCAGAAACTTCTCTCAGGGTAAGTGGCTAATGTGTAAATGAGACGACCGTCGAACCGCTTGTTAGTAGGCAGGGCCGAGTCATTCTTTCTCCGTTCCCCTCCTAGGGGTTCCACTCTTGGCCGGTGCAAGGCTTACTCCTCCATCCCCCAGAGTGGTTGATCGCTGGAACGAGAAGAGGGCTCTGTTCGGTGTCTATGACAACATCGGAATCCTGGGTAGGACTCGATTCCTAATTTCAGAAGGGCCATTATGCTATATTGACTCTTTTGTTCTTATTTGCGTAGAGAATAGTAAGGTGCTCAGGGCAGGCTTGGTGGCAGAAGCTGGAGACTAAGCCAGGCGAGACCAGTCTGAGTTACAGAGAATGGTATGGTGCTCAGTCGTACTAACACAGTTGTGCGATGTTCTGAGCGCCCAAAGATAAGGATGGTAGTGTCAGTATTTGAACCCATTCTGGCAACAAAGTCACTATTCCTTTGTGTGTGTGTGTGTGTGTGTGTGTGTGTGTGTGTGTGGCCGTGGCCGTGTGTACCGTGTGCTGTTCATGCAAGGCCTGCAGGGACAGGGTGTCAGGCTCCCTAGAACAGTTGTGAACCTCTAGATGTGAGTGCTGAGAATCAGATCTTTTCAGGAACAAGTGTTCTTAACTGCTGAGCCATCTCTGCAGCCCAAAGACTCTGGACTCTGTACTATTATGGATGTGCCTTGTCCCTCAGTTCTGCTCAGGGAGATGCAACCGAGGGTTGAAGGCTGAGCCGGCCTCGGCTGCCTTCTCTTCTCTGTCAACTAACATGTGCCCTCACATTACAGGGAACTTCGAAAAGCACCCGAAAGAACTGATCAAGGGCCCGGTCTGGCTCCGAGGCTGGAGGGGAAATGAATTGCAGCGGTGCATCCGAAAGAAGAAAATGGTGGGAAGCAGGATGTTCCTCGATGACCTGCACAACCTTAACAAACGGATCAGCTACCTCTACAAACACTTTAACCGGCATGGGAAGTACCGCTAGAACAGAACTGGGGACTCCGGGAGAGGCACACTTGTCACCCTGGAGGAGCAGAACAGGACCCACCCTGGGAGGAAGGAGCTCAGTGTGCTCTCTGTAATAAAATGGGCCTTCTTTGGAATGTGATATGCACACTATCTGTTCCTCACACTGCTTCTTCTACTCATTCATGCAGACTGAGTCTGTCTCATCCTAAGTCCTAGGGTCTTCTGTTAAGACCTTAGTTACTACAGCCCAGTCATACTTTTGGTCTTTAGAAGTACAACAATTAGAATCATTGATTGTTGACACTTTTTGACATTGGCCCTTCATGTATTTTTTGTTGTTGTTGTTTTTAATGTAATCTTTTTGTTTGTTTGTTTGTTTTCAAGACAGGGTTTCTCTGTGTAGCTTTGCACCTTTCCTGGAACTCACTTTGTAGACCAGGCTGGCCTCGAACTCACAGAGATCCACCTGGCTCTGCCTCCCGAGTGCTAGGATTAAAGGCATGTGCCACCACTGCCCGGCTTTTAAAGTAATCTTAGAGGTGAAACTCAGGGGCTTTCTCCTTCTAGGGAAATGCTCTGCCACTGAGCTACCCAGCCCCTTGGAAGTGTAATGATGCTGTTGTTTCTAAAGACTCTGCCACACCAAATGAAAAGGGAAAGTGGAATCACACTTTTGTACTGCTCTCATCAAATTAGGCTAACTTCTCTGAGTAGAGAAGTGTCTCAGAGGATGACCTTGAACCACATCCAGTTTTATGTAGTGTTAAAGATCACACCCAGGATTTCCTCTGTGCTAGGCAAGCACTCTACAAACCAAGTACCTCTTCCTTTTAAAAAAGAAGTTCTTTTGGGGGGACAGGGTTCCACTAATTCTGACCTGGAACTCACTATATAGACCAGGCTGGTCTCTGACTCAGAGATCCGCCTGCTTCTGCCTCTGTCCTCTGAGTGCTGAGACAGATGTGTGTGTGCCACCACACCTGGCCTTTCCCACCTTTTCAGTAGATAGCAAGTGCATGTGAGAGTACATGGGATATGAAGCTGAATTAGTCATCAGAAGCCTCATCCCAAACTATAAAAACTGGTCAGTAGAGATGAAATGAATCTTGGACTTCCGTATGTGGTTTTATTTTTAATTTGTTTTCTGGATATAAGGTCTCATATTGCTTAGGTTGGCCTGGAACTTAACTATGTACTGAGGCTATGCTTGAGCTCCTGATCCTCCTGTCTCTACCTCCCAATGCTGGGGTTACAAGTGTGTGCTACCGTGCTTGTTTGTTTTTTGTTTTTTGTTTTTTTCTGTTTGTTTTAAAAAAAGAAATTGGCATTTAATAAGGTTCTATATATATTGGTTTTTCGAGACACATATAGCTTTTGGAGCCTGTCCTGGATCTCACTCGGTAGACAGACTGGCCTCTGTACTCACAGAGATTCACCGGCCTCTGCCTCCCGAATGCTGGGATTGAAGGCGTGCACGACCACTGCCAGCCAAGATATTTTTAATATAGGCATAAGCACCAGGATTAGGAGAGAGGTGCTCAGATGAAGTTAACACTTGAAAGCATGAGTGGGTCTCTTTAAGAGACTTGTGTGTGAGACAGTGCTGGGGCCTTGAATAGACTAGGTGTTTGTTCTACAGGGACCTATAACCTCTGCCTGGATTTTGGTTGTTTGTATATATTGCAAAAAAAAATTCACTATGACATTTTTTCTTTTTTATTTATTTGTTTGTTTGTTTATTGGGGGGCAGGGTCTACATTCTCCTGGCAGTCCTGGAACTCACTATGTAGGCCAGGCTAGCCTTAAACTCACAGAGATCCACTTGCCTCTGCCTCCTGAGTGCTGGGATTTAAGGCTTGTGGCACCATGCCCAGCTTCATTATGACATTTTTCATACTTTTTTAAAAAATAAAAATGAGAAGTCTGGAAGTTACAGAAAGGTAATCCAGGGAATTTTTCTTGCATCCATTTCTTTCATGCAAGTTTTTTTGTTGTTGTTTTGTTTTTTGGGCTAGAGTCTGGGAGCCAGTGAGATGGCTCAGCAGTTAAGAGTCATCTTCCAGAAGCTGATCTTCCCAGAGGACCCACAGCTGTCTAGCTAAGGTTCCTGGGCTCTCCATGGAGACCAGACATGCACGTGGTGCACAGGCATACATGTAAGCAAAACGTGAATTAGTAAAAAATAATGTGTGTGTGTGTGTATACAAAGACCACAGTCTCTCACTCTAATTCAGGCTCAGGCTGCCTAGAACTCTTTTTTTTGGGGGGGGGGTGGTTTGGAGATAGGGTTTCTCTGTAGCCCTGGCTGTCCTGTCCAGGAACTATTGCTGTAGACCAGGTGGGTCTGGAACTCACAGAGATCTGCTTGCCTCTGCCTCCAAAGTTCTGGGATAAAGGGGTTCACCACCCACCCGGCTTAGGGTGGTTGGTTATCTTATTTAAATTGTTAAGTCTTGTCTCAATGATCTTTTATTACACAGCAGCCCATTCTGAACATGGTGACTGAAAAAAATTAATTCATTTTCTCTGGGTTTTCTTGTTCAGCTAGTTAATTGGAATTTGTTGTCATGAGGCCATATTCAGCAGTGGGCTTCCCTGGGGCTAGCATGTCTAAGATAGCTTCTCTCACATTTGCTGAGTCAGTTAGTATCCGAGGTTTTTTTTGAGAACCAAATCGGGGCCACTGCAAGAACAGCAAGTTCTCTTAGCATCTGAGCCATCTCTCCAGCCCCAGCTGAGGTTCTGTTTGCACAGGTTTTATTTTTCAGTCTCTCTTGGGCTTGTTTAAAGACTTGAGGTGAAGATGGAAGTGACGAGGCTTGATAAAATGAGACTAAGAAGGGGTGGTGTCAACAGCCATGGTGGTACACACCTTTGATCCCTGTACTCGGCAGGCACAGGCAGGCAGATCTGTCAATCTGAGGCCAGCCTGGTCTACATGTCAAATTCTGGTCCAGTCAGGGATACACAGTGAAACCCATCTTAAAAAAAAAAAAAAAAAAAAAAAAAACCGGGCGGTGGTGGCGCACGCCTTTAATCCCAGCACTCGGGAGGCAGAACCAGGCGGATCTCTGTGAGTTCGAGGCCAGCCTGGGCTACCAAGTGAGTTCCAGGAGAGGCGCAAAGCTACACAGAGAAACCCTGTCTCGAAAAACCAAAAAAAAAAAAAAAAAAAAAAAAAAGGAAGAAGAAAATGTTTTAATAAAATCTATGCTTCTTAGTGAAGAGGGAGTTAACAATTCAACTCCACAAGCCTGTGTAAAATTCTTCCTGCTGTAAGATACAAAAGGTCTCATTTTCAAGCACAGAGCTGTATTGTTTTTGGTATGGAACAGTGTGCAATATTTTCCTTCAATAAACACTGAATCATTGTGTGTAAGGATCGTAGAGGAAAATAAACCACAAAGGCAAAACAATCTTCTGCCTCCAAATAGACTTATTTCTGGTGTATGTAAACAAGATACACAGCTGAATACGGTAATTGCATAGGAAAAGTAGAGTTGCATGAGACAGTTTTTTTTTTTTTAAAGGGGGTCAGAATTTGTGTGTGTGTGTGTGTGTGTGTGTACATGTGCCAGAGTTACTATGGATTAAATGTAGGTCTTTGCATGTATTAGGCATGTGTCCTACCACTGAGGTACATCCTCAGCCCTAAAATGGTACTTGTTGAAGACACTTGGAGTAGATCTTGGAAAGGCTCAGTGGATTAGTAGATAGACGCAGCAGGCATGAGCCCCCTCCTACCCTGGGGGAGCAGGAAATGGGGCAGGGAAGGCTTCCTGAAGGAGGCAACCACTACATTATCTTAAAGGAATGTTAAAGGAGTGTTGTGGAACATCTTAGGTAAAAATGCTGCATTTGTCTCACCTTCCCTACCTAAGGCTCCTGATTGGTCTAATAAAAAGCCCAACAGCCAATAGATAGGCAGGCGAAGGATAGGCCCGGCTGGCAGGAAGAGAGAATAAATAAGTAGGAGAAATCTAGGCTCAAGGGAGAAGGAGAGAAGAGAACAAGGGAGAGAGAGAGGGCCACACTGGGGGCCAGAGGCCAGGCAGCCGCCTGCTAGGCAGCCAGAGAGACAGCAGAAAAGTAAGATATACAAAAAAAAAAAAAAAAAGAAAGGTAAAAAGACGCGAGGCAAAACGTAGATAAAGAGAAAACAGGTTAAGTTATAAGAGCTAGCAAGAAATGAGCCTAAGCTAAGGCAGAGCGTTCATAACTAGCATTAAGTCTCTGTGTCATGATTTGGGAGCTGGTTGGTGGCCCAAAAGAAAGCCTGTTACAAGCCAGGCATGGTGGTGCATGCCTTTAATCCCAGCATTTGGGAGGTAGAGGCAGGCCTGGTCTACAGAGTAAATTCCAGGGACAGCCAGGGCTACACAGAAAAACCCTGTCTCAAAAAAACCTTTAAAAAAAAAAAAAAGAAAGAAAAAGAAAAAAAAGAAAGAAAGAAGGAAAGCCTGTTAAAACAGAGTGGAGGGTAACTGGCTTTTCAGGCAAATGATGTAGAATGGCCCGGAGGTGAGAAATAGCATGGAGCCCATGCATGCATAGCAAAGCTGTGAGTGGTATTTGTTAGTGGAGCTACCTTGTGTGCCTAAAGCTAGGCCAAGAGGTGGAGGTAAGAGTCAGGTCATGAAGAAAACTAAAAGACTTTTAACATTTTAGTAATATGATGTGGCCACTTTGGAAAATCCTCAGTTTCATGAAAGGTTAAATACAGAGTTACATGCGATTCAGTAATGCCACTCCTACGTGTCACACAAGAGAGTCAAAAACGCGTCTGTTCAAAGACAGGTGCACAGAGGTTTGCAGCAGCGGGATTCACGGTAGTCAAAGAAAACAACCCCAAGATGAACCAAACCAATGTCTACCTGTCAGCAGAGCCCTGTGATCTCAGTGCCCAGGAGGTAGAGGCAGGAGGAGCAGGAGATCAAGGTCCTCTTCAGATATGTAATGAGTCTGAAGTAAGCCTGCGGCAATTCCTGGAACCGGTCCCTTGTCAAACCAACTTTCAAAAACTGGTTCCTGATGGGCGGTGGTGGCGCAGGCCTTTAATCCCAGCACTCAGGAGGCAGAGGCAGGCGGATCTCTGTGAGTTCAAGGCCAGCCTGGGCTACAGAGTGAGTTCCAGGAAAGGTGCAAAGCTACACAGAGAAACCCTGTCTTGGAGAAAAAAAGAATATATGGAATGATATGGGAGGGGAGTCATTTCAAAACTTATGTGTTCACTTTAAATAATAAATAGACTGAAAAACTGGTTCCTGATCTCCACATGCGCATGCCCGCCCCCTGTCGTGGGATGTTCGATTGCACTGTGAAACTCTGAGACGGTGTTAATAAAGTTAGATCAAGGGGCAGAGCCAGCAACTAGTTGACAAGAATTAGCCATAGAGAGTGCAGAGAACCCAAGAGACACACCGGAAGGAGGAGGGGGGGACTTAGAGATTCATGGTCTTTTGGGTTTGGGACTAGAGAGACATTTTCTTGCTGGGTCTCCGGCCAAAAAGGAAGGTCATCTGGTTGCTTCTCGACTTCTCTGATATAGCAGGTTTTCACCCCAACTTCTGACTCTTGAGTCTTTATTTTTAAATAGAATGATAGAGACTTAGTTAAAATCTACATTTGGTGGCCGCAGTTAAAATCTACATTTGGTGGCCGCAGCCCAGTCGGTGCCAGCAGGACCTGAATCCTGCCAGACCATGGTCTGAGTGGCAGGGTGCTGACCGTGGGCCTCGGGGCACAGATGGTAGTTAAAATATCAGTAGGTTCAGGGGCTGCCACTAAGCTGACAGAAAAAAACAGCCCTGTTGGTGGAATTATTAAGGCAATTCCACGTAGTTAAAAGGGAGGTTTATTTTGTGTGGTAACTTACAAGTGAAGGGATAGGTTACAGGGTCTGGGAAAGGTAAAACGCAGTCCAGCAGTGTTCTCTGGAGAACTCTGCTCGGTCTCCTCCAGCATCCAGGATCTAGGAACCAAGAGAGCCAGCCCATCCGGATCTTGGGTCTTAAGGGCTCCTGTCTCGGCTCTGCCTTGTAGACGTGACAATTACCGAAGCCTCAATGGGGGTGGCACTTCCAGGTCAAAGCTGGAATGGCTATCCACTACATCTCCCCCTTTTGTCTAAACAAGAAGGTTCTAACCTAATACAAGACTATATACAATAAGAATGATTATCAAATGTTGTCACGGAGTAATAAGGGATAATGACCTAGATAAGATGGAACTACAACCAACACGAACAATATCAAACAAGAGACACATACTCAAATCCAGAGAAGTCTGGAGCATAGGTAAATGGCATGTTACAAAGATCATTCCAAAAGGTGTTCTATCCTAAAGAACCTAAATCTAATAATCTAATACTTAATATGTTCTATCTAAGATATTTTATATATATATATATATATATATATATATATATATATATATATATATACTAAGTTGTAACTATAACTGCTAGTCTTCAATCCCATCAAAAACCTGAGAAGGAATATAATGATACCTGAGAAATGGAAGATGGATGCAAGTAACTTTCAGGAGTCTTGCAAGAGTAGACAGAGGCAGCTGGCAGCCTGGACAGTCACCTAATGTTTCTCAGCATTGTTGGTGCATTCAATTTGGCTACAGGCTTAGAGTATCTGACAGACCATTTTCAGAAGCAGGAATTCTGAAAGACCATCTTACCCTGTCTTGGCAGAGTTCAGTAGTCACTTTTCCTTGTGTCCTGCTTGTCCAGAAAGGACAGCATTCGTATCATCAGCAGTTGAGGCAAGGGCAGTTCTTTGTCCAGTAGGCCATTTTGTGCCAAGAAGACAAACTTCCAAATGGAAATGTCTTAGAAGCCCAACGTTCTCTTGGGATCAAATTGGTGCTGCCAGGAGCAATTGTGTCTCAGGTCAACAGAATTCTAAGTTATTTAAATGCCATATTCTCTAGGTCTATGAAGTGTTTGAAGATTACCTGTCCATCTGACCTATGTATCTGTAAATCTGGATAACCTAACTAACATAACTATAGAGATGACAAGCATAGGTGACTATAAATCTATAAGTCTTATCTACCTAAATAACCTAAGGACTAAGACTTCATGTAAACAGGGTAAACAGTCTGTGAGCAAATATACGGTAAAAGGACAATGACTTCAAAATTGTGACAATATACAACATATCTTTAACAGAGGTAGGAATATATAGTGCAATATGTAATATGACAATAATCCTAAACATATATCAATATACAAAATATCCTAAACAGAGGTAGAATATACATACAGTATGACAGATATAAATTTACATTTGTATCAATATACAAATTATCTTAAACAGGAATATAAAAATAGTTACATTTGTATTAACATATAAGAATCCATAACAGTGCAAATTATCTTTTTTTTGGTTTTTCGAGACAGGGTTTCTCTGTAGCTTTGGAGTCTGTCCTAGACTAGCTCTGTAGACCAGGCTGGCCTCGAACTCACAGAGATCCACCTGCCTCTACCTCCTGAGTGCTGGGATTACAGGCATGTTGTCACCACTGTCCGGTGCAAATTATCTAAGGCTGCTATTTTACTAAATTTACTAGTGTATACAATAATCTACCATAATATCTTATACCTATCCATTCCACTTTTCTTTTCTTTTCTTTTTTGTTTTTTGAGACACTTTTTCTTTTCTTAAGGAGAATACTGAGTTTAACATTTTTTTCCATCCCCAACCCTATAACCATCATCCATAACCCTGAGAAATATGAAACCTTTAGGAGAAAGGGCGTTGTTTTCTTAGAATTGCTTCCTGCTGTTTAGGGGGTGATGGTATCTCTGTTGGGTCCTGTAAGAAAGCTCAGATAGTTAAGTCTCAGTTAGACTAACTGTAGATTCTGCAGCAAGTCTCAGAGTAATGGGTAAGATTGTCTGAAATTCTGGCTAGAAGTGTAGTATGATGATTGGTATCATGGCATCATTCTGGACTGGGTAGAGTTGTTGTTGTTGGGGCCCCATCTTCCTTCGGAGACTTCAGAGATTGCTATTGGAAAAACTTATTTTTTACCATGAAAAACTTGAACATTATTAATATATCAAAATGGAAAGTTTGGATTTAAAGATGACATGACATGTAAGAAAGGATTCTGAGAAATCAAGAGTAAGCATGGAGAGAACTAGAATCTTGAAGACAATGGTCCCTTTTATTGGTTTCCTTCTGTCCCACACCAGAGGGCTCTTCTGATATGGGACTGAAGAATCTCTCAGCCTTTTCTTTTAGCAATATGCTTGGGTTTAGAGAAGGAGTGAGCCAATTCCATCTCCAAAGCCAGCTTGGCTTATAATTGAATTGGAACCACAACTTTTCTAGATTGAAAGAGATATAGATGTTAGGCAGTGAGATTTTACCCTGTGTAGATTGGTACCAATAGATTC